GAACCACCCCAAATGCCACGGCGCAGGCCTGACAATGCACAGAACCGATGATTTCCTGGCGTCAATCCCTTTTGACACGGAATCACCCTCTGGAATTGAGCGATACATGTGTACGACTCAAATAGCAAATAGAGTTCGCAGTCGGAATAGGCGAGATGGAAAACTCAGCGAGTCAGCTGCGTATGTGAGCTGCGTAGCCCAGTTGTAAAAGGAATTGATGAGGTGAAATCGGAGGCGGTACAAATAGACTCGCTGTGATGTGTACCAACTGCAATCTTGTTAACATCCTTTTATCCGGTAACTCCATACCTAGATCATCAAATGAACTAATCTCACTTTCCTGTCCAATGTCACTGGAAAGGTGTAGTTGATCTCCTTAGAAACTTTTCACAAAACATGCTGATGAGCAGAGTATTCTTAGCAAGCCCCCAATGCCCAGTCTTAGATGGGAGTTGAACTACAACTAAATACGTCTGATAAAATATGCAGCAGGTTCTTGCCTTGAGAACCGTCATCCTTAAATACTGAGCTTCACCAACTGAAGCTTAAAAACCGTCACCAACCAAACATAATAACCCCAAACGAGGCGCATCGGTACCACGTAGTAGCCTTCGATCATTTCCAAAGAAACAAAAATACGACTTCCTAACCAAAACTACGCCCGAACCGGACTATAACTACGTCCCGAAAAGGGTGATCTCCGCTGCTTCTCGGTTTGTGGGATCGTCGAGAGTTTTGTACTTATGCGCTCGGCAGTCAGAGGTAGAGCGACGGAGCGGTGGGGAGCCCCCGCTCCTCTGTCCGACGGAATTGCGCGCGCAGGTCCGCCGTTCGACCCTGCACAGTGCGGCAGTGAGAAATAGAAGACGGGAGGTTCGGCGCGGAGTTGAGTCGTCCCGTGTGTCCCCGCCGATAGATACCACAGACGCCAGTTGTGAATTACGGAGGATCAGCCGATAATCATGGCTAGGGTGATGCGAAGCTTAACCAGCACAAAGTGTTAAATTGATGGCTATAATTTAGAGTTTGGACATTAAACTTCGATCCCCACGCATAGGCCTAGTTTCGACTTTCGTCTCGCCTTCCCCTGCATTCCCTAACATCACTGAAGTTACATCCGTCGCAGAAGCCCCAGTCACTGAACATGCCGCATCTCTCTCACCCTCTACGTCCTCGTCTTCGCCGGCCTCTGTCAGGTACTGGAGCAGGAACTCGGAGAAGGCGCCCTTGTTGTCCATCAGCTGCTTGTAGGGCCCCGTCTCCGAGACGCGGCCCTCCTTCAGCACCGTGATTGTGTCCGTGTACGGCAGGTAGGTGATGCCGTGCGTCACCAGAATGCGAGTCTGTGAGAAGGGAGAGACCGCTTAGAACAGGTCACAAAAGGTCCCACATCAAAGGTCGCGGGTCAACAAAAGGGACAATGTTAAACAAGAATCAGTGGATAAAACGGAGAGAAACGAGAATCTTTCTTATTCGTTTTGCTTGCGATTCTCCCGGCTATGATGCTCAGCAGACGAGCAGATGGAGCTGCTAGAAATTACAAAGACACATGACTCCCTGCTGGACCAGGAGTCATCACTCCTCATCACCACAGCAGACTGACCTTTTTGCTGAGCATACCCTCGGGCCCGATGACGTTCTCGAATATGTGTTTTCCGACGTGTGAGTCGACGGCCGACAGCGGATCGTCCAAGAAGTAGATGTCACTGTTACTGTAGACGGCGCGAGCCAGCGCCACGCGCTGCTTCTGGCCACCAGACAGGTTGATACCCTGTGGAGGCAGAGGGCGGGTCAGAGGTCAGAGGTCAACGGTCAGGGAGATAACAATATGGTCAGAGTATGAGAGTAACGTTCTATGAAGGCTAGCTCACACAGGTGGAAATGGTCATCTGTACCATGAGTCTGCCTATTGGAAGTAATCTTAAGTCTGCCATCCATCCACTCAACGGCATATGGAGAGATTTAACTTTTAGCCTTAAGCTTCGGTATTTATTTCCACGTGCACACTGCAAGACAATCCGAACATGTTGCGAAGCTTGCAATCTTGTCAATATTGCGGCTACATAATTCCCTGCAGTCATGAGCATTGAGCAAGGCCGTGCGACTACTCTACTTTCCCCAAAATTCGTACCTTCTCGCCGATTTCTGTCTTGTCTCCGCCGGGCAGCATCTCAAAGTCGCTCCGCAGCGCGCAGGCGTCCACACAGCGGTTATACAGGTCCTCGTCCAGCGTGCGGCCGAACAGGATGTTATCCTTGAGCGTGGCGTTCTGGATCCAGGCCTCCTGCGCCACGTACGCCACATTGCCCTGTGGTGCACATAGACGGGGATGGGTCAGTGCGCTATATTTGTCCCAGTCAGTTGAAACAGAAAACACACCCAATGGTATAGGCGGTTTTACCATTCACAACATGAGAAACATTAATCATGGTAATGAATGGTAATGGAGAATCAATATTGAATGAAATGGATCACATAGTTCGTTGGCTGCAAACATAAGGTTCACGGCACTTATTCACAACGATAAACACGTGGGCCTCCAATTTCAATTCATTCAGCTGTCGGTGAATATTTCCGTCATACTATATCCACCTATATACTATAATTCCTTCTGTGCTAAATTATATCCTTAGGATATGGCTTATAACCCATGTCCCTCAGCCCTTCCCCGTCCCGCCACCGACCGCCGTACCTTGGTGTTGACGCGTCCGCCGACCTTCTCCATCTCTCCGAGCAGCGCGCTGAGCAGAGACGACTTGCCGGAGCCGACGGTGCCCACGACGGCCACCAGGCTGCCCTCCTTGACGCGCATGTTGATGTCCTGCAGGTAGGGCGTCGACTCGGGGTCCCACGTGAACGTGCCGTTCTCCACCACCACCGGATCACCTGTGAAGGGAGCGTCAGAGGCGTCAGAGGTTAGACAGGCGATACAGGGTCGGATAGGGCTCGACAGTCTGCCCCGGGACGATTTAATTCCTATCAATTATTGTATTACTGTGTTATGCATAATAGATTCACCGTAGCCGTCAGGTTAACAAAAACCTCTAACGTTTAGCATGAGAGACACTCTTCTTTCCAACCAGCATCGGGTAGCATCTGCCCGCAAAAGCTTTTAACGTAAAAAGTAAGACTACTTCCACAGATTCTTGGCTCCGAAGGACTCTAATGGACACTCCCAAGGCACTCCGACGGCACTCACTCTCGGTGGTGTCGTGAGACACGGCCTGGTCGTCCAGGTCGTCACTGTTCAGGTACTTGTTCATACGCGTTAGCGACACGTTGGCCTGGCAACGGTGGAATAAACAAGTTAGCAGGGTGAGTCATGAGCAAAGATGGACGCCGACGAACTCAACTGAATGGCCATCTATTAACTTCAAAACATTGTAGGCCTAAAAGGCATTAGTCAGGCTTCCTCAGAAAATACAAGGCATCGAAATAACTCTTAGGGGCTTAGGAAAATAAACCAAATAAATCAACAAATAAGCAATTGACACAAATTTACGAATATGGAAGTACGTTGATAAGCTTGCCAAAGCAAACATCAAGTAGTAAAAAAAAAAAAAAAAAAAACAAGGGGACGAATGATTCGATTCAAAATCCTTCTTACGAAATCAAAGAAGGCAAAGGAAAGAAGAAAAACAACAGGACTAATACCTATGCACGGGAAATAATACATAAGTAAGCAACGTAAAGCATTTACAGAAGCAAAACATGAGCTACCAGCATGCAGACCAACAAATACATAACCAGCTTAGTGTAATAACTCACCAGCCGAGCATGCGAAGGAATGTGTTAATTGCATCGGGGCAGTGCGAAAAATGCGCCGAGAAAACAAAATTGTTTACAGACAAACGCTGAAAAATGTGTTGAGGCCTTAAGGCTAACTAAGGGCGAAAAAGAAAAGAAAAACAATGTCGCAACGAAATGTAGTGTCGTTTTATTCTTAAAAAAAAAAAAACAGAAAGAAAGTTGCTTGCAGTTAAAAAGATTCTATTTTTTAGCATGTTAGTAGGTTTGTAGACCTCAATCCTCCCTTAAAAAATACTGCAGGGTCATTTACCCAGCATTCCCTCGGTAAGTCAGGCTCATAGCCGGCCTATCCCCGCTGTGTGATGTCACCAATGATCAATGACGTCATCAGTCTGACGTGACGTCACCTGTACGGCGCTGATGGTGATCATGGGCAGCATGGAGAGGGGGAAGCGCAGCGCGTTGAACAGCGCCAGCGCCACGAACGCGCGCCGACTGTCGAGTACGTTATCGGAGTCGACCAGTACGTAGGTGGCGAACGACGCCAGGCAGACCTGCCGGGGCGGGCAGACGGCACGACGTACAGCGGACGGCCGGACGACAGGAGGACGCCCGGACGATACCGGCGGGACGGCCCGACGAGGGGGAGGGACGAGACACACACACACATACACACAGACGGACAAATGAGGACGGACGACGGCAACACACGATACCAGAACACCCCAACAGCCGCTCATCTGAGACAGTGCCTTGCGGCATATCAGCTCTCAACGTAGATCTCTGGGGACGGCTTCTCATCCCGTCAGTCAAGTCAAGCCCAGGCCCAGACATAACAGACATTCCCACAAAACGCATCAATGATGGCCGGCGCTGGTTTCGCCCAAAGCACAGCTCAACCCAGACTTGGCGACCTAGGCCAGCGGAACTCGACTTCCAGGACAAAAGACGACCCGAAGGCAACTCCCAAAACCGGAAAAAGGACCACGCAGCCTCCAGGACTGACCAGCGCCCCAGAGACTCAGCGACTCGTCGTCTACCTGTACTGTGAAGACGATCAGCATGGGGAGGAAGCTGAGAGGCATGCGCAGCAGGTTGAACAGCGAGAGCGACACGAACGCCTTGTCGGGCGTCAGGTAGTGGGGGTCGACGTCGTCGCCCGTCAGCACGTACACGGCGAACGTGATCAGCGTCACCTGCAGACACGTGGCAAACGTGGTTAGTGATAGCTGCAGACACATGGCAAACGTGGTTAGTGATAACTGAAGACTCGTGGCGCACGTGGTCAGTGAAACCTGCAGACAAGACAGTCAGAATCCCCTGCGGACCAGAACACGGTCAATGGGCTTCAGAAGTCATGATGAGCCGGCCCGCTTCGAAGGAATACTGGTCAGAGGCCGGGACCGATGATATTGACGGCTCCATGGGTCTTGTAAGCTTGGTGTGGAGTCCAATACCGGCATATGGAGCGGTTGTCAGGTGCTAGTATCGACGTGCCATGGGTATTGATTGTCTTAAGGCTCGGCCGGCCGTAACAGCCAGCACTAAATGCTAGAATAGTCCGCCCCTGCCGTGGAGCTACCGGCTAAATGAACTGTAAAACATGCATCAGCTTTTCAGACGAGACGGACACGCTCGTCACCAGTATAGAAGCCGCGCCAACCGAACAAACTGGCTAAAAAGAGCAGGCAGTTGGTCAGTCGCCGATGGAAAACAAACTCGGATAGACAAATCGATAAATCGACCATTTCAGACCCTAAACGCCAGAATTGTTGTGACTTTGGTATCGACTGTTTGTGAAAACTTCTGATGTATATTTACGGACGAGTGACGACACAGTCGCACCTCATCGTTCGCTGGATAGTGGCAGTCAAATGCAGCCTGAAAACGATCGATCTGTGGGGCGTTGTGGGGGCGACCGACATATAACAGACCTTGCCCGAACGATATGCAGGTAATAACGATACACCTCTTTGAATGTTTTTATTTTCTTTTGAAACGTTTAACGACCAGTGAAGCCGGCTATAATACCACAAGCATTATAAAGTTAGCTTGCAGTTTGACACTAGTCACGTTCATTACTTCCCTCGCCACCCCACCCCACTCTCCTAGCTCCCCCTGCGTCACGCCGCGATACTCACCACGAATGGAGCGCAGGTCCAGATGAACGAGGTGCCGGCGTTGAGGTAAGCCGTCTTCCGCAGCACGCGGATCTCCTGCTGACGGATGCCGAGCACCTGTTCTTCGAAGGACGGCTCCCACGCGTACAGCTTCAACACCTGGTCGGAGAGGTATCGACGGTGTTAAACTTAGCAAGGATAACTATTGGTCTGCACAGGATAACTATTGGAGGGGAAGATCCTGACAGCCTTCGCATGAAATTGACAAACTTAGGTAATTTTTGCATGCAGCATTCATAAATCTTGACTGGAGAGCCACAAGTTATGGCTTATTTAAAAACGCTAAGATCACATCGGGAAGTTCGAACGGCAGCCGACTGCGCACCTTAATGCCACTGAGGATCTCGTTCATGAGCTTCACACGCTGGTCCTTGTACTTCATCTGCTGCAGCTGCAGCTTCTTGGTGGCGTTGGCGATAAAGCCGTTCACGGGCATCAGTAGGATCATCACAGCCAGGCCAGCGAACACGGAGGGGCCTGGACGACACAGGAGAAAGCGGTTAAGTCACCCAGCGAAGTAAACGAGTCAAAATGATGAAGAAATACTAAGACACCTTTTGGGTCCTTGGAGTGGGAGTCGAGCTTAGATAAAACCGGCCGACCTACTCTACTTTATCCCGGACACCGAGTGATGAAAGAATTCAGCACGCGATGAGACTGACGTGACTGGGATAGACATAGACATGACGTCTATCCGAGTCTCGTCTGGGATCTTCAGGGCCCAGGGGTTTTCAGGTCTTGTGACTTTCACTGTACACCCGATCAATCCATATGACGATATTATGAAATAACACAATGACATGACTGTGACAAGTAGCCTAGCTAGCATCCCCGTAGGGACCCCGGAGCCGGACCCCCTCACCGAGCTCCTGGTAGAGGAAGTAGACGGCCAGGATGATCTGGTAGGGCGCCGACCACAGCAGACAGATGTACGAGGCCAGGTCCATGAAGCGCTGAGCGTCCACGGCCATCAGGTTCACGATCTCACCCACGGTCGACTCGCGCCGGGCGAGGTTACTGATCACTAGGGCCTGCGGGCGGGGGAAGCGGCGGTTAGGGTTCAGGGTACAGAGACGCAGGCTGGCCGGGAGCGACAAAGTCATGTGCCGTTCAAAACCCAGTCGGCATCACGGACGATGGATCACACCCAACAAATACCTAGCATACGACTCCATGCCTGTCAAATCTTGTGTTCATCAAAGCTTCCACCCAATATCAATCCCAATTCCGTTCCCAATTTCAGTCCGAGCCTCAGAAAGCATCAAACCGCCATCACTACCTCAACGGCCGCTACCCTAAATTCACCTAAATAAGCCTGCCCTTTTCCGTCCGATTAAGCATAAAACACGCCACGAAACTAACTACAACCCTCCCCCGCCCCGCCAGCGACAGCAGCGTGCACGCACCTTCCTGTAGACGGCGGCGATGAGTGTCGTCCTGACCCGCATGCCCAGGGTCATCATCACCAGGAAGTACTGGTTGAGCACAGCAGACATCAGCATGTTGACGCACACCATGAGTACGGCGTAGAAGTAGCCGTGCCACGACGGTTGGCTAGGGTCGCTCACGAAACTGATGATCTTACTGTGAGGGAAAGAGGGAAGGGTCATAATAGGTCGGAGAACATACAAGAGAGAGAGCGAGAGAGAGAGAGAGAGAGAGAGAGAGAGAGAGAGAGAGAGAGAGAGAGAGAGAGAGAGAGAGAAAGAGAGAAAGAGAGAAAGAGAGAAAGAGAGAAAGAGAGAAAGAGAGAAAGAGAGAAAGAGAGAAAGAGAGAAAGAGAGAAAGAGAGAAAGAGAGAAAGAGAGAAAGAAAGAGAGAGAGAGAGAGAGAGAGAGAGAGAGAGAGAGAGAGAGAGAGAGAGAGAGAGAGAGAGAGAGAGAGAGAGAGAGAGAGAGAGAGAGAGAGAGAGAGAGAGAGAGAGAGAGAGAGAGAGAGAGAGAGAGAGAGAGAGAGAGAGAGAGAGAGAGAGAGAGAGAGAGAGAGAGAGAGAGAGAGAGAGAGAGAGAGAGAGAGAGAGAGAGAGAGAGAGAGAGAGAGAGAGAGAGAGAGAGAGACGATGGTGTTACTGTCACAAATCAACATCATGAAGACGCATTGAGACTGAAGTGCTGCTACCGCCGCGCATTTTCCTTACAACAAAGTGTCGCGTCTAATACTGTAGGTTCGTTCCCTCGCATACCCTGTCAGTCTTAAAAAACTATCAACTCTCCTATTCCGTCTTCAGCCAATTGCCCTATCCTTGCTGCGACACCCGTCACTAGTGTACCCTCTCCGCAACCACACACCCCACCGCGTCTCACGCCCCGCACCACACCCGGCCAGCGCCGCCTACCTCAGGATCTGCGGGTTGATGAACTGCAGGGTGTCGTTGATGAACTTGAGGAGCACACCCAGCAGGAACGAGCCGCCGAACGTCTTGATCAGTGCCGGGAGGATGGAGGCGCGCTTGTAGGCGCGCTTCTGGCCGCTGAAGGCCACGTCGTCGGTGGTCTTGGTGAACTCCACTTTCTGTACTCTGGGCGGCGCTCGGCTGAGGAAGGTGGGTACACGGTTAAACTCTGACACAGTGCAGTGTGCTGAGTGAGTGGGGGAGATGGGAGGCCCGGGCGACTTAGCGCAAACGAGGACTCGTCTAACGTTCGATCGGCGCGACATCGGGGAGCTCAAGAAGGTCTTAAGGTTTTAATAAGCCACATCAAATTACGTTACACGAAGGCTGCAGCCGCAAACGGCAAATGACCAACTATCCAATTGCGAGTGATACTTTTTGGGAAGAAGCTAAGAGTTATGAGCCATCACAAAATAGGTAGACAGCTTGTAAGCCACATTATTCACACAAGCAGAAACACCACAATCTAGTTTCACTGTTACATGATGCGATAGAGCTGAGGAGCTTTCTAGCTTCTGAGCTTTCCAACCACAACGAATGGCAAAAGGTTCAAATAAAAACACGACAATGAACACATACTATGCACTATGCTTGGTAATACGGTCACATGTAACGAACTCTGCTTATTTTAGAGACTACTGCATAACCGAAATTCCACTACAACGCATTAACGGGTAACGGCGTAAGGGAGCGTCTCTGTCGCGGCTCCATAAGGTGCCATCTTTGCATACGGTTAGTGCGGCACTCTAGTTGAGCGGATACCAACCATAGGCAGTTGCTTGACAACCAAACGGCCAATATCGTACGGTCTAACTGGTAATTACATATTGTTTATTGTTTATTATTGTTTATTAGGCATTGTCAGCCACAGGCAAAACCCAATGACGGCTGAGGTCAAAGGTAGACATATGTAGACATCAATCTATCTGCGGGTAATGCAGCATACAAATAATATCAGACGTCATATCCTGGTTTCAGGGTTAAGTACAGAGGGCTTGAGATGCGTCAGATGCTGCCAACTGTATGTTCACGACCGTGCCTGTTCAGTTCGCACCATGCCATGTAAATACGAGTGCACTGACGGGCGTGCGACATGCAGCATACAGCGAGGAGCCGGCCTGTTCAGGGGTCGGTCAGTCTATCGACACACTACACCGAGCGACAGGCCACATCACAGTACAGCGCCCGGGCGGGGCGCAGCGCCTTACCCGAACTGGTCCCAAAATTCCCTGTCAAAGGAGGCGTGTCAGTCGCCTCGATTGGTACACTCCTGGCTCTTACGCACATACGAGGCAGGTAAACACTCTCAACTCGCGCACGAGCATAAACACGCAGCGTGAAGAAGCAACGGTGACGAGTGATATAAACCGTTCGGTGGGGCAAGGTGATGACGTCAGAGTGGCGTGATGAAGTTTCAGCGAAACCAGAGTAAGCTCAGATACATATTCAACAATTAACTTCATCAGTGCATCCAAGAAAGCAAGTAACGTGATTCAGTGATCAATAAAGTGTACATTCGTTTCAACCAGCAGTGCTTTGGCAAACGATGCCCATAAGTCACCCAGCGAAACCTCAGCGGCCATCAAAAGGCGGACACCCGGCGCCCTATATCCACAAACGAGTCCAATTGTCTCCAAATCACCATCTCCAGCCGTGGCGGGACTGTCCCGTTGTGTCATGGAGTGAACTGCAGCGACCGCCACGGTCGGCCACTGACGAAACGCCACTGGCGCCGCCGTGCGGGCTATTTATAGCTCCGGTGGCGAGCACGGGGCACAGAGGACGACAGGCCGGCCGGACGGCCGGTGGGAGGCCGGTGGGAGCAAGGTGGGAGGAGCTAGGCGGCGGAACGGGGGGCACCGGGGCACCGTGACCCCTTTGATTTGGTCATTTTAACATAAGCCCTATGGGCGTGGCGTTGCATGGAAAGAATGGGACCAAAAGTCGGCAGTGCCCCCCTCCCCCCTTTAATTGAAGGTGTTCCGCCGCTTCTGTTGGGAAGAGGTGGGAGAAGGAAGCTAGGTGTGGGGTTCAGTAGGAGAGTGGGCCATATTTCCCTTCAAGGAACACCTTACAGTTTGCATCCCACTGCACTACTGCTTACGGGAACGGAAGATGACGCACTAACTTAATTAATGTTCTTACTGCTTGAACTCTTGATGAAGTTTGGATTTAGGGGCGCCCGGACTGTGATGGAAATCAACGCCCATTCTGCTTAAACTTTCAGTCTGAGTCTGAGCATAGCTAGTTTAGACCCTGAATAGAGGTTCGTTCACGCTCGTCTAAAAAGCTCCCATACATCTGTATGAGCCCGTTCACATTCCTCATTTAAAATGGAGAAACGTCTCTGTATTTTAAGCGGCATCCATGAATTTCACGTGCCGTTCACCCCTAGTACACGGTTGTTGTTCTTTAGTGCGACCACCGATTCTGACAGCCCGCCCCGCACTATTTCAAAAGTACAACAACGGGTGTTAACATGGGCTGATCTCCTGCCAACATCTCACACTAAAAAGACCTTCCACTAGGGATTGCAATCCCGGGATCGGGATCCCGGGATCCCGGCGGGATTTTAATCCCGATCCCGATCCCGAAAATTCGCCAATCCCGGGATCCCGAAAAAATCAGTTTTTAACCATAAAAAGAATGCAGCCGCTGCACGAGTCTTATTTACACTGTTCAGTGTTCATGGTGCTGCGTGACATAAAGCAGAGAAACTATTTAGCTGGCACCCCGTAGCGGCCGTCCACAATCGACCGTGTTGATAGCTCCCGGGTATCACCCACAGCATTTAAGCCGCTTAAATGTGTACGAAAAAGGGTTCCGAACGCCAAAAAAATTGCAGCATCAGTGCTGCAACATCTTTATCAGGATCACGGATCGTTCAACCATTCTGACTTGTCCGTCCGTGACCGGAACAAAAGAGGTCATCAAGACAGTCTTTGAGCTCGTGTCGCAGAAAGATGTCACAGATGTCACGCAAGTGACGGCAGAGCTCACTGATTCAAACGTTGAAGACGGTAGAGTGGAGCTCTCCCAGTCAGTGACTCTGCCCTCAAAGCGACTTCGGAGCAAAGTCTGAGAGATATTAGTGATGAAAGCGGAACCGGAAGGAGGTGAAGTGACCAAGCGACGTCTTGAAAACATTGTGAAATAGGGAGCTGCCAAATTTGGCGTACACTGGTCGCGAGTTTTAAAATAGACAGACCTTCCAGCAATGGCTTAAGACTGTCGCGCTAACTACGAGTAGCGTAGACGAAGAGTGAGTGAGGCGTGGATGTGCTGGAACCTGTCTTAACCCTATTCCTGGCGGGCTCCGCCGGGACAAGAAACTGGCGGGGGGGGGGGGCCGATCCCTTCAGATCTAAAAAACTACACATCGCAGCGACAAACGGCGAACGGCGTTTGATAGGTCGTTTAAAGATCTACAACTTTTACATAAAACATTTTCAGGTCAGGTCAATATTGAGGTCACCAGAGGTCATCAACGATAAAATGTTTTGGAATTAGTTACCTATATAACTTTTAAACTAAGAAACATAGTGACATAAAACCAATACATTTTTTGTTGCTCTCGACGAGGCGATGCGAAATAAGTATGTGATGACCTTCACAGGTCAATTTGAAATTTGACCTGAGGTCAAGGTGGCGAGCAGTTTGGTACCACTTACAAGTCTTTAGCACCATTATGTCGTGATTTATTGACAGAAAAACGATTTATGACGTCACATGACCTCAGATGACCTTTGCCGGTGCCCCTGTCAATTAGCGGCACCAGGATCATCACCGATGAGATAATCTTCCATAATACTGAAAGAACTGGGTGGTTTTGACTCGTTTACACGAAGCAGGAGGCGTTTCAATATTTTCCCATAGGCTTGCAATGTAAAGGTCACGAGTCTGGCCTGACCTCAGGTCACAGATATGAAAATTCTGAGATATACAAATTGCACATACTGGTACCCTAACTAAAGCCTGAAGAGAAGAAATTGATCGGTCAAAAACTCTAGCTCTGGCGTGATTGCAAACTTTTCTGAGGTAGGGTCACCAAACCGCCTCTGGTGACCTGACCTGAGGTCAGATCAACTCAAAATTTTCAGAAATGTTGCGTAAAAGCCTTTTAGGAAGTCAGAAAATTTGAGCTTCCTAGCTCAAAGCGTTTGAGAGAAATAACCAAAAAACCTCAGGGGGGCTCCTGAGGCCCCCCGCCAGGAATAGGGTTAATGACGAGATAGTAAACGCACTGGTCGACGCACAGATTTATAAAGGCCAATTGGGAATAAATGGTAATCAAATCGAAACGTTTCCTTCGCAAATTCAATCGCTTTTAATGCAAATGACATGGTCTAAGGATGGCTTTTGGTTGTGGTAAGCTAAAAGACGTAAAATATATATGTCAGTAGGAAATCATTCTTACGACCTTTAGTGACAAGGCCGGGATCCCGGGACCCCGGGATCCCGAAATAAAAACTTTCGGGATCCCGGGATTGGCAAAACGTTCCGGGATTGCAATCTCTACCTTCCACACACCGATGTGGTTTTTGCAGTGATATCAAAAATTGTGAGCATGCTCCACAACCCAGCGCAATGATCACCACCAATCCCGGATCCCTCCCCTCTCCCTTCTCCCGTCCTCTCACCTTCGGCTCTTCTCCAGCAGTTTGTACCAGTGGCTGTTGAAGACGGGTACGATCTTGGAGCACCGGTCGGCAGGGTTCAGGTCCCACAGGTCGTCCCGCTGCAGCGAGCGACGCCAACCTCTGAACGCCATCGGCTCGAACCACGCGAACGTGATGTTGCTGATGAAGGACGAGCTCGCCTTCGGGGACGGTTTCTGTCGGGGGAACGGGGCGGGGGAACGTCAGCGTTAGGCCACCGAGCGGCAGCAGTAGCAGCAGATCAGAAACACAGTGATGAAGCAAACACCAACTAGCACGGCGATAGTGAAAGGTTGAGGATCCCATGACTTCAAAGCTGTAATAAAATAATTTGTCGTGCGCCCCAGACGAGTACGAGGAATGACGAACTACATAGGATGGGCTGAGCCTGATCCTGGCTCACCAGCCGTAGAGTCCTTCCCCTCTAACTCCTTTCCACCGAAGCCAACCCCTCTCTCACCCCCTGTCCCTGACTCATCCACCGCCGTACTCACGTCTCCCTTGATCTCATCCTCGACATACTGCGCAGGCGCGTCGGCGAAACAGTTGAGCAGCCACTCGGCAAACAGCACTGGGAAGTAGATCATGTAGAGCACGAACGGCGTCGTGTCCTGGTCAACCCTCTCCTGCCGGACAGGAGGCGGAAGTCATGTCAGAGCAGGTCAGAGGGTAGGGTATTGGGCAGATCAGGTCAAGGATAAGGTCACAGAACAGATGACTGTCACTGTTCAGGTGACTTCTCAAGTTGGGGGTTACGTCAAAGATCAGGTCACGAGTCGGGTCATCGGTAAGTTTAAAGGTAAGAGCGGAGACCACGGCGGTCTCCATGTAAAGACACGGGTCAAGTTACTTCATACAGGATAACTTTTATCCCCTTTGAGATAAGCGCATCTGAAAGCAAAGACAAACAAGGATATTGTGTTCGGTTCAGCCCAGTTGGCACTGTTGGTAGGCTCATTGTTTTGCTCAACCTTTGCCAGGAAGCACTGCAACCCATATTGCTAGCGAATTAAAAATAGTATTTACTTTAAAAATGCAAAAAAAAAGTTGGTGACAGAGACCGAGACTGGCAGGGACCGAGCCGCGAGCCACCAGCATACACCCACACCTATCATCTCGCCTGCCCGTCAATGACGCAGAGCTCACAGTCGCTGCTGCATCCCTTACCCCACCTGAAGCGTTCCAACTTACATCGCCTGTGGCATTCATGATGCGTGTGCGGAACTCTGCGATACCGCAGAACGCCAGCAGCGTCCAGAACACCCATATCACGCCTGACGTTCGTATGCCGCGCCGCTTTTCAAACAGCATGAACACCAGCGCCAATGCCTGCAAACAGAACACAGCGGGTTAGAACGTGAAGAGTAGTAATTCACACGGTACAAGGGTTCAACAAGTACATCTTCAGGCCGATTTTCACGAGTCAGATGTGGACTGTTGCATCATGTTGGTGTAAAATAGTGAGTGGGGTAGCAGGTCACGGAATAAATGCACAACACAGCAAAAAGTGGGGTGGGATACTGAGAATGAGTCACATACCGTTGCAGGTCGTTGAACCGAGACACACTCGCCCAGCGCAGAACGGGACAGAGTAAAAACAAACAGTGCGACGGTCACATACGGTCACATGCAATGTGAGATGGACTGAGAGAGGCGTGCCGTAATGACTGTGCATAGCTGGAGCATGAACGGCGGGACAGGCGGGACAGTGCGTCCCCACCCTCCTGGAATTCTTTGCCGACCTCGGTCCTCCCTCCACTGATGGCGTGCTCAGTCTTTGCAAAGTCACTGTTCGCCGTACCTTTCACCTGCCGCGGCTGAGTCAGTCGTACACTGTTCCCGAACAATCGGAGTTAAAAATAAATCTGACGCAAACTTTTTGAAATATGTCCCACTAAATGCCGAAGCCATCTAAAAAGGATGGATGAGCAGGATGTTTATCTGTCATTATTTTCTGATGACAGAGTTGAGATACCAACGAACGTATCAAACAAACCATAGTCCAAACAGGAAAGTGGGAATTTATCAAATATAGAATCATCCTAAGTCTCATCTTGTTTGTCATCCTGATGCAAGCATGACTCAAATATGAAGACAATACAAGGCGCACCGAACCACAATGCACCATGACACTGCAGCCTATTGTATGCGTCTGCAGACTCTGGGCGTGCTTGGCTGTCTGAGAGAGACAGACATGTAGCGGTACCTACTGTCAGAGTAGCGACAGAGGCCGCACCAGCATTCGCAAGGGCTGCTCAGTGGTTACACAAGCTACAGTGACACAAGCCGACCCGGTATGGACAGAGGACATGGGACGTTTAGCAGGGGCAATGTCCCCCGGTTCTGTAGGACATAGTTTCCATCCCTGTAGAGGAAAAGGGCAGAGGGCCAGCGCCGCCCACCTCCTCCTGACGGGGACAGTTTACAAAGTAACGACACCGCAGCGGCCGCGACCGTCCCCCGCAAATACCCACTGAACCACTCTCAGCCGCCATGAACGGACATTTTACTGGAGCCCGCCGCAACAGAGCGACATCAGGCTGACAGAGCCACAGCAAAGCTCGCGACCCAGGAATGTCAAAACCCCGCCCACGCTAGACCACACAATGGTGACTGATGTGTTCCAAACACCGGGTGCTTGGTAGCGACGCTGAATGGCCAGCTTCATTGATTACTAGGCTTCAGCGTGCGATAAAGGTCATTTGATGGCGCTGCCCAATGGCCACTGTCGTGTGCTGAATCATCCAGCCGGACCGGCAGCGCGCCATGGGGCCAGCCCGTGCCACGGCAACTGAAAGAGGCACGAAGAAAGCGCATTTATCACGCGGAGCTGCACATTAGGCGATTTTCGGGAGGCCGACCGGGAGACACGGCAGCCCGAGGGCATTGCATGACGTTTGCAAGGTCACTACGAGTCGGCCGAACATAAAGACGGAAGACTGGTGTTCAAACAATCCCCTCGAGCGGCAACGGCAGCCATGGCGCCAGTGCCACAAAATAGACAATTACATACATCGGCGCCAGTGCCAAAAAACGAACACAATGATATGTGCACATGGCTGCAGTGGAACAGAGGCGCCTGTGACAGGACACGAGCAGCGAACGGGTTCACTATCCGGGCCCGCCGGTCTTCGCGGCCGTGGCGTGGTCATCCGTCCGTACTCCGCACGCGGCTGGAACTGGACCAGCCGGGGTCGTAGGGTCCGCGCAGTTGAGCCGCCCGACCGGCCGTCGGGGTACGCCGAACACTGGCTGCCAGGTCGGCTCACGCTGCTCACAGCCCCGGCCAGCTGCGGGGCACGCCACTCGGCCAACAGGCCACCGGGTCCGCCGGCCGCCTCGCCTCAGTCAACACGGACTACCGGACATACAGACATACCCCCCGCGGCTCAGTGCTGTCACCAGTGTGACAACTGCAGGCACGTCTATAAATAAGCACCCAATTAACTGCATGTCCGTCAATACAGCCATTGCCGGACGGAGGGGGCAGTCAGCGGGAGTTATGAGCGAGCATCGCCGCTTGGCTGGGTAACATTTCTGTAACGGGAGCAGGCAGGCAGACGGCCTCTGGAACTAATCGGACAAAGTACAGCCATGCTGGAACTCGTGGCTGGCCGAAACAGCGCCGAGGCTCATGGACGGCAAAAAAATAGCACCTGACAACATAAACTTGTCAGAGCGTAACAAGAACCCACGTGTCAAAAGTAGTCCAGGGTCAAAGTCGGGGTTCAATACCAGCCATCATGATTCTGCACAACGGTGTCGGTTTGATGTAAGTACAACGGTTCTCACTGTGACAATACCCGGAGTTGTCTCCTTTCAGTCACCTTCGATCATGGTCGTCATCTGACGTGGCCGGCGGCACCAGCCGTGCCTCCGTGCCGCCCCACTCACGGCACGGCGCAAATTCATGAGCCGAGTGGCAGCTGCACCGGGCACGGACAACACAATACGACGGGCGGAGGGTACATGCTGATGCACTCCAATGGACTCCACAATGGCAGATGGAGAAGCACGGCGGTTCTCTGGGTTCGAGCGGTCCATGAGTTGCAGTCGGGACGTGCATTCCAATGGTGAGGCTTCTGTAACCGTCGAGGGGAGGGGAGACGCGGCCCTGAGAGGAGGGACTGCACCGTCATTCCGACAGCTCCGCTCGCCGTTGACTTGGCTGAAGCTCGGAGACACCGCTCTTATCGGCCAACAAACGCCGCACAGTCGGGGATCCTTGAACCCGACAAAAAACGACCTACTCTCCTCCCCTCCGTGCTGCTCCCGGACTGTTATGCCGTTGTCAAATGGACCGCTATTCTGTCCGTGTAACGACGCCGGTAGCGCCCACGGCCGCACCCCGCCGCCCCGCTCCTCAGGTGAGGCATACTTCCTCCAAACAGACGGTGTCGCGACGGGCGACCGCGCCGCCAGTCGACAGAGACCGCAGAGCCGCGGTCGGGAGCGCCATCGAACACACACATACACCGACACGGAGCTATGGGAGCGGCCCGGAGCAGTCGGCGAGCGACCGACTGTCATAGACAGTCAGGCCGTATGTCACAGCCTCACTGCGCCGTCATCTCATAACGTGACCGCAATATGCACCGTATGAAAAGCGGTTTCATGAGCTCCGCTAAACAAACATACCACATGTGATGAGACACAACTATGTAGACTTCTGATGGCTTACAATAAAAATAAAGCTCTTCCGTTTATGGGTAAAATGGATTGTGGAAAACTCCATGAGACGTATGACGGTGCAGTTTTGGCAGACTCGTTCCGGTGGTTGAGACTATAAAAACTCAAACTAAACATTTAAACAATATCTGTTCCTCTCCCGCCCGCCAGTCAGCTCTTCTGTAACAGCCACAGGGTTGAGTGAGTGCTGACTATTGGTCTGCTCATATTCAGTGTGAAGCGGGTGTGGCTCCCACCCGACCACAGGCCGTGTTTTCAGCTCGCCCCTCTCGTGGCACCGGGTCGTGGGGCTTCTGATGCTCCGCGCCAGCAGCTCCCTGGGGACGGTAGCAGGCCGGCAGACCACCGCCGTAAACACGCCGAGGCTGCCCCCCAGTCACGCCACGGGCCCCCGGCGCAGGGTGCAACAACCCGCGGCGCGCGGTGCAACAGTGCAACACTTCTCAGAGCAGTCATTGAATTGAATGGCAGGCGCTGGTCCAATAGGACATCTCATCCATTGCGCTGATGACACTGCCATGTCGCTGAATAAAAACGTCATGACAACTGTGATCTAGGCGTGAATCACTCTCGACTTGATCTGATCACTGGTATAGATAGCGCCAAATCCCGCACAAGTCATGCCTATCGGTCAATTCATCAAGCAAGGCCCCGCTTCCTAACGTAGTTTGAACCCCACGCAGTCTCATAATAGGGTATCTGAGAACATCCAAAGCCTGCGTCGCGACTGGCGATGGCCGACCAACCGTCGCAGCTGCCGATTTCTAACGACGCTCCCCGCCGTTCGCAGGGCCGCCCCACGCCGGGCCGGCCGGCGCGCTGGAGCGACCTTGGAGCCTACCCGACGACGCCGGCGGCGGGCGACAGCACCCCTTCCAGCGCCCGACGCTGCCGCCGCCGCCGCCGCCGCCGCCGCCGCCCCGGGGAAGACGGTACAACCAAGGACGACACAAAGCAGCAGACATTCGGCATTCAATGGGGAATGACTAACGATCGACCAGCGCTAAAGTCACGTCACGAGTGGAAGTAATGGTGCTAATGATGATGTTTGGATTTTAGGGGAGCTCATATTGATCGGTCATCTGGGCCCTGAAAATGAATCTAATAACGAATATGAAGATCCTATGAAAAGGCTAAATGCCGTAGAACTGCGAAAAGCCATCAAACAATACTCCTCCACTGATATTATATAGGAAGGGCTCTTGCCGGAAGCGTATTGCATTATATCTATTAGACCCACGGTTGCCTCCCTGCATACATCATTGATTCCGGCTCCGTCATGCCGACTGCCGCATGTCCGGCTGCGCCGCCCGTCTCGAGGGTCGTCCAAAGGTCGCGCCGGGGACCTGTGTACTACACCTGAGCGGCGCTCGACCGATACAGGGACCGGCGCCGGTGCTGAGGGGCCAACTGATAGGCCAGTGAAGCGATATCGGAGGTCGGGCGCCGAGGACAAGGCGACTGCCCTGCTATCATCGTTCGTCCCACCGTCCACCCGTGTAACCTGAGGTGGTGCAAAACTTGAAATGGTATGATCGGAAGGCATTACACGAGTACGGGTCGAACGGAAGCTGGTATTTTCAGCATGGTTTGGCCATTTTCATATTACATAATCGGTGCGACACTGCACGGCATAGCAT